ATAACGTAGATTTTTATACATGTTTCAGTGTTTTTTACTTCATCAACGTGATTTAGTAGTATTTCATTACAACAGTAACAAGTTAGAAACTGAGAAAATGAAAATGTAACATGTCTCCATATATATATATTGAGAAACCAGCTTAAGGGCCACATAAGCAATAAGGTTTCTGTAAATGTAGTAAATTTATTAACTGCAATAGATGCTAAATCAAATACAAACAGATGAAATTCATTCAAAATGAATTTCATCTCTTTGTATTTCATTTAACATCTATTGTTGAGTGAATTTCATCTGTTTGTATTTCATTTAACATCTATTGCAACAATAGATGTTAAATGAAATACAAACAGATGAAATTCATTCAACAATAGATGTTAAATGAAATACAAACAGATGAAATTCACTCAACAATAGATGTTAAATGAAATACAAACAGATGAAATTCATTCAACAATAGATGAAATATAAACAGATGGAAGCTGTTAAATATTCAAATGAATGTCAAAATAATTTATCATGAGTCGATATTTTTATCATAAACTAAATTCTACTAGAACATTTGACTCTTACAAGTTATGTGAAAAAATAAACATTTATAAGAATACTACTCTAACTACATTTGAAAGATATCCGTGTGTTATAAATCATATAAAAAATGTAAAACAATATAAGGTTTTAACAAGAAAGCAGATACGTTCACTGCTATATGTGGTATTTATTAAAGTACTAAAACAAGTTTGAATTTTTGGCTCCACGGATGCTGTGAGAACGAGATTAAAAATATAATTTCGGCTCCACGGACGCTGTGAAAACGAGATTAAAAATATATTTTTTTTTGGAAACTAAATCTTAAAGATTTAAAACTTTTCATCGATACCTACTGTATTTATATCACAACTATTTTTTGGCAACCATAAACTACAAAATGTTGTTTGTACGTTTCTGTAAGGGGGGTGAATCTGTTAGTTATTAACTTTTAATTTCTGCCTATCTAGGATTATTAAGTGTACCTGTGTCATAATCTTTTAATTTTATAATTCCAAATTATCAGTCATTAATTCCAGCTGTTGTTGTAATTTATCTTTTCTGCTATTCTGATGCTGAAACACCTTTAGTCATATATATGTTGGCACTTATAAGCAGAGATTTAGATTTTTTTGACAAAATGGAAATGTACAGCGATATCCGTTAATATTGTTACATGATGAATTATTATAGAAGGGTAGTTCGGTTTAGCCTGCATGAAGAAGCTGTTATTTCGATTCTTCATTTCTTTAAGGTCTGAATAGTGAACATAAAAATATTACATTTATGCTTGAGCATAAAAAATCCCGGACCGGTATTTCTCATCTGTTCACCATATAATAGCAGTTGTACCTTGCAGTATCACTGAGGTTTTAATTTGTGAGATTAAAAGCCAACACATATTGTGCGAAGCATACTAATGCTACGGGGGTCTGGAGGCATACCCCCCAGAAAATTTGTAAAAAAAATAGGTGCTATGAGATTAAATCTGGATGCAATTTTTGCATGAAATATAGCTTAAACAATTGCATGGCTGTTCACATAAAATCCACAAGCATCCAATGAAAAGTCAACAAATCATCATTCTATAGTAACACTGCATGGGGAGCTAGACGTAAATTAGCATAAATATGTATGTTTTATTATAGTAAAGTACTGTACTATCTACATGCCGAGTAGTTATTAATTGTTAACTTCTGTCACTAACTTAAACAACTCTGTACAATAATAGTAAATATTGACTATGTAGAAAACGTTAAATACCATAAGCAGCCACGCTATAACTATATAAGCACAGCTTTTTTTACATCACCAAAATAGGGGGTTCGACCGAACCCCCTCGAACCTCCCCCCTTGCGTACGTGCGTGAGTATCGAGTACATCTTAAACACATTTACAGTTGACATTTGAAAAAAAACAACAATATTATTTTTATTCTTATGTTGATAATGTCATTGATCTTCTAAAGAGGATTGGTTTTGTATTGGAGATGACTGAGGGTGTGGCACGTGGACGTCGTCTGAAGTGGGACGTCCAAGAATTACATTTAGTGGTATATAAGCATTGTGATTAATATCCATCTACACGAATATACAAAATCTTAGTTTATTTTGACACCAAATCCGAATAAAAATCATCTTTCAGGTTTAAAAGCCAAGATTTTGTCAATGAAGACACTCAATTATTTATGAATGTCACCTATACTTTATGTAAATGTGGCTTTATTGATTCTACGATAAAATTGTTAAAAGGCAATAGAACTTGAAAATTAGTTGTCATTTAATCAATTCAGTATTTTAGCACAGGTTCTAAGAGCGAGTAACTATTTATTCATCATAGTTATCAGAAAACTTTATTTTAGAAAGTATGTTCATGAACAGACTGAGACGTGGGTTTCTTAAAGTGTGGTCTGTTAAGGATTGCTATAGCATACAATATTTGTCCCGAAATACTACCCTAATCAATAAGTAAAGTAAATCAGATGTTATCATATGTTAAAATACATACTATTTCATTACTATTACAGGTATCTATCCTAGTTATTTTTCACAAAAACAAAATTCATATTAAAATATCAATGTAACTGAAAATTTTTCCATGGACTACTCTAGCTTTCTGCCTAGTTTGGAGATAAGGTTTCGGAGTTTTGTGCTGATTCATCAAGACCTGCATAGAGCCCAAAACATCGCCTCCAAACCAGACAGGACTTTCCCACAGGAACCTATTCACTATTTCAACACACTGCCTGAAACTCCTCCAAAAATATGAATATGTTTTTGAAAAGTTCAAAGTTAGCGGAAAGTTGCCGAGGAATACACTTCGGTCTGTTATAGGTTTACAACATTATGAAGTTATTAGAGTATATCTAATACTGCAGTTCACGAGTTTCAGTTAGAAACACGTACTATGAGATAGCTTACAAAATTATTTTTGGTTGTAAACAATGTAGAGCAGAAACAAATTAAATCTTTCAATTATTTAACAAACACATCAAGGATTTACGATTAGTCTAATAAAGTCAAAAATATATCAAATGGAAAAAAAGATAAAACTGTTATTGTTTTTCAATAGTTTTTTTTAGGAATAAAACGAAGCTGTCTGGGTGGGATTGGCCCGTTTCTGTAATGGTGTATTTACAAAAAATGTTTGTTCTCCCACTGTCGAGCTGACAGAAAGATCAGTCTTTGTATTTAAAGTTAGCATACACAATAAATGTCTAAAAGTAATGCGAGAAAAAGTAATTTTTAGACTGATTTTTTCATGTTTAATTTAAAAGATTTTGATATAGATATAATAGTATTCCAAATGTAATAGTATTTATAACATACACACACAATGATGAAAAAAAAACAAATAAAAAACACAAGAACGTCATTCACGACTTGCTGTTGTTTAGGTTTGAACATATTAATCCAAGTTTGATTGTAAAGTCCAATACTAATTGATGATAGTTCATTAGACACTGAAGATAAGTTTAGTGCTTACGAGGTAACTTGACAACAGCTCCTGCATCTCCAAGCCATTATCAGTTAGCTAGTATCTTCCTTACGTAGCATCGTTATTATATATATATAATCTAAACTTTCTGTTGGACGTTTGGAAGATAACGTCATTTACTAGCTAAAGCCAACGAACCAGAATTTGAGTACACACATATATATATATATATATCACAGACCTGGAAAAATTATGCACGTGCAGTTATAAGAGTAAAGTGTTTAAGCACATTAATATGCACGAGAGAAGTATAATTGGGCTTATAAAGAACATTAGAAAGTCTAAAAAAAGCTAAATATTAAAAATTCTACCATACTACCTACAGAAAAATTACCAAACGTTTCTTTGATAAATCTACGTAAAAAATTCTAAAACAATGTACAAGCTCCAAATGTTTGTAATCTACAATATTCTAAGCAGACCAAATTCTAGTCTTCGATCATCATAATTCACGATGTTCCATTTCCTTTTTGGTTTGAATAATACAAACAGTGTGCAAAATATTAGAAGTAGTGTATTTATACATGTAGCATATCATAATTCCTCTTCGTAAAGCATCAAGTTCAGTTCACATGTAGGTGTTAGCCAACGATAAGCCAGTGTCTTAAAATTCTGTATTAAGAGAATTGATGGCTATATTTGCTTTGAAAGCATCTTTCTTAATAGTAATTATTCCACAAACTAACTATTAGATATGTTTACCTACATAGGAAGCAGTTTCTCTTAAGCGTACGTGAGAAAATCTCTTTTTTTTATAATTAATACTACAAAATGTGTTTCATAAGGTTTCCAAACTGGTATACCAGTTACTATGGTGTAATAAAGTTTTTTATATATTAACGAACTACGTCCTTGGAATTTTCATAAAAGAGTAAAAAGTTGTCATTAATCATCTTTTTCTTTTGTACTACTTTATAAAATATAGTGAAACCTTTAGAATTTAAACGTTATAAAGTGTTCAGAAATGTTTCCAAACATTGTTATATCTAGTAACAGAAGTGGAGAATTTTCTAGTTGCTTGAAAGTTATAAAGAGTAAATAAACAAACTGCTTATTAAACTAGGACAACTTGTTTTCGATCTTAAAATGAAAAATTCTAACAATGGATTTGAATTTAAAGAACAGCTTTTTCTAGTAGTTAATCTTTACAATAGCGTTTACATAATCCTAGAGTAAGAGTTAACTTATAAGAACGGCATTGGATGAGTTAAAAAAAGTCATTGTTTTGGAAACAGAATAAGCATCCGGTGAGTAAGCCTGACATGGACTGATGGTTAGGACGCTCGATTTGCAATCTGCAGGTCGCGAATTCGAAACCTGCTCACCCTTTCAGCCGGTTGAGCGTTATAATGTAACGATGAATCCTACTATTCGATTAAAGTAACCCAAAACTTGGCGATGGATGGTGTTGAGTAGCTACCTTCCCTCTAATTTATTACTTTTAAATTAGGGACGGCTGGCGCAGGTAGCTTTCGAATAGCTTTGCGCAAACCGGTGAGTGAAGTAAATTTAATACTTATTTAGAAATATTACCTGTGTTGATTGTAATATACTAAGCTCTGAAAAAACTTGGTGCGTAACGTTAGAAAATATCATCAGAACAAATCAATTGTACATGTAAACGTAGATCGCAACTGACTTGTATAACCACATAACCATAATATTCGTATTTTATGTGCCATATCAAGTACAATTTAGTGTTTAGATATTAATTTTGACAAATTCAAGCGTTGCTGTTCACTATATATAATTCCAACTATATTTTCATCTTAGATTTATTACCATCTGTGGCAGGCATTATGTCCATCCGCACTCATCCGTATTAAGTCAGGAAAAAAAAACTCATCAGACGTATCACAATTGTAATATCCTTAGACCCTAATATTAGACGACTGGAATACAATTTTAAATCTACGTAAAAAGAAAGTATTGTTTTTACTAGACTAATTATAAAGCAGTGTGTGAAAGAAACTATTAATATAATGATATAAATGTAGCATAGTTGGTAAACAGTATCAAGATGAGATATTTAGACTCGTCACATCTCTTGAAACTAAGAACTCTCTTTCTGAAAGCTTTAAGTTTTGATTCACATACTAATATAATAAATAGCATTAAAAATTTCTATCATATGTAAGAATTACTATAATACACTTACATATTAAAAATCATAATTATCTTGCGAACTACATCACGTCTAGTTTCAATTAAGTAACGAATTATGAACAATAAATAGATGAGACAACGAAAGGGCATTGTACATGTTAATCTTATTCCGATACATACAAGTTCTTTTTGCAACGTATAGGCACCTTAATCTTTTCTCTGTCCTATAGGAGACTTAGTGGAGAATCACGACAGCAAACTTGGACTTAAGATTTACAGTTGGTACAAATGTTACGACTTAATCTTGATACTGGGAATGAAGATAGTAACAGATCCTGAGTATTTTTTATTTCAAAGCATTCCATCTTTCCGCGATCGTTGATAACCTCATTGCCAAGCCTTAGTTTCATACTTTAGAAGAGAAAATTGTACGTCTTATGCTAGGATTATCATTGTTTTGTTACTCTGTGAGGACCCAATTTTCATCTTGCATTGGTTCAATCACAGCGTATGTTAAGAAAAATCCAAAAGCGAAGCAGAAGAATAGAAGTGGGAACACCACTTTGGAGATGTTGTCAATTTTCTTGGCGAGTTTTGGTCGAGTTCCCATGTCAGCTTCTAGTACGAGTGGTCGACGCAGCCAACCAAAAACAGAAGCAACAGCTCTGACTTTTTCTCCTTGATATCGACTCTCATCGAACGCAGGAACCTCTTGTCGTGTGTTGTTACTTTCGTGATTGGTATCCTCCTGACCAACCTTATGAGCGCAACCCTGTTTATAAAATAACAGATAAATAAAGCAGATATACTTGATATCTGTGATTATAGGTTCAGATACTAACACAAAAATACGCATCAACGTTTTTTAATAGTAACATAAGAAACGACAACTAAGAAAAATAATACTTAATTATCAAAGTTACAAAAGGCCCAAGAAAAGTGTAGGGTTTGAGACTGTTGTAAAACAACTGTCGTGTTATTATTTTCAAATGTCAAACTGGAAATTCCCTATTCCAATAACGTGGGTTCTTTTCGTGCTTCATTTTTTTTAAACAACTAATAGTAAAACTAATGAACAGTCTCGCCACCTAGAGGAAATTCAAGGAATGCTTGGTTTGGTGGGTTTGATACTGTGAAAAAATATTGATTCTGTCTAATAAGTAGTGAACATGTGCAGAGAAAAAATAATTACATTTGGTATTGTTAACTTGAACTTATGTATAGGTTAATAGGTTAGTTCAGAGATCCCATGGTTCAAGCATAACCGTTCCTAAGTGCAGACTAGAGGAAGAGTAAGCAAACAGCAGCACCCGTCGCCTACTTGGCAATTCTTAACTGAATACTGTTATTTACTGTCACTATTATAACGCGTCCACACCTAAAAGTACGGGACATTTACAGCTACATATCTGGGATGGAACCTTGAATGATCGTATTTATTTACCAGAATTTAGGACTTCTTGAACATATTTTCGGTCAAAGCTTTAAACAAAAAATCCATTTGTGGAAGTTGGTTTTATTTTATTTATTTGGTCTAGCATTGAAGAAGAAAAAGAAATGACAGATTTTAAGTATGTGTATATCCTGGATAAACTAAATTGCCCCCCAGTGGCACAGCGGTATGTCTCCGGACTTACAACGCTAGAAACCGGGTTTCAATACCCGTGGTGGGCAGAGAACAGATAGCCCTTTGTGTAGCTTTGTGCATAACTACAAACAAAATAAATTATTAATTAACAAATTTTATTATTGACGTAAGTTTTGCAAGATACTAAATTATAACTCTCAAAAATATCAACCTTAAAGGCAGGAAACCGTTCTAGAAAATATTCCTGTTATCCATCCATTTATTTGTCGAGCTATTCAATTCATCAGTACATGACAGCTTTCATAAATTACAATTTTCAACTAAATAAAGGGCATGGCCTGGTGATTAGGGCACTCGACTCGCAATCTGCGGGTCGCTGGCTTGAATCCCCATAACCTAAAATGCTCACTCTTTCAGCCATGGGGACGTTATAATGTGACGGTAAATCCCTGTAAAGAATAGCCCAAGAGTTGGCGGTGAGTGATGTTGACTAGCTACCTTTCCTCTAGTGTTTTTCACTGCTAAATTAGGGACGACTAGCGCAGATAGCCCTCGGGTAGCTTTGGAGGAAATTCAAAAGAAACCAAACTAATTGAACAAAGTTTAAAATACACAATGCATTACCCCCAGTGGCACAGCGGTATGTCTGCGGACTTACAACACTAGAAACGGGGTTTCGATACCCGTGGTTGGCTGAGCACAGATAACCCATTGTGTAGCTTTGTGCTTAAACTACAAAAAAAAAACTAATATAATAAATTAAGATTTTAATTTGGTAATCTGATTCTATTATCGACTTCATTAGCAAAAAAAAAAAAAATAAAAAATTGAATTTTTGACTTAAGGAGAACTTAAGATCATGACAATAAGATCTAGAAAATACTGGTACTGAATGTGTAGATATCGCCACTGCAAACCTTGGAAAGAAATTATTGTGGAAATGGACTGGACAGTACATCTCGAAACAGTTTTAGGGATATATTTCGCGGCTACGTTTTCCAACAAACAAACTGGATCAGCTAGGAAGCACCTCGAAGAAAACATTTCACAAAACTCCATCCAGAGATTCATCCAGGACATGAGATATGCTAGCAGCAAGGGGTGTATTTATGTATCACTGAGATGGAAATAAACAATCTAAGAGTACCAAATTTACTGGTGTTTCTGCAGAAATTCCAAAGCTAGAAAATGTGGCATGACATTTTTGGGGCAGTTACAGAGTAGTTCCACAACTTAGTTTGGTATGATTTGGCCTTAAAATAACAATAAACTTTACTATCATCTATAGAAAGTGGCCCAGAAAGAGCTATACCGAAACACCACATTTTACTCAGTTTCTGTCTACCTGTTTTGGACCATTCTTTAGCATATAAGTAATAACATGTGACATATAGGCAAGAATTTTATCTGTCTTTACATTGTTTTGCTCAGTACATTGAAAACATTTTTGCACCTGAAATCAGATTGACGTAACAGAAATACATAGTAATTCATTAAACTGTCTTAATGTTAAGTTAAAGCGTAAATATGGTGATAAATAGAATGGTTTGGTTGTGTTAGAGCAAAGCCATATTGGGCTATCTACTGCGTCCACCGCGGGGAATCAAACTCTGGATTTTAGTGTTGTAAGTCCGTAGACTTACTGCTGTCTCACTGGAAGACTAAATATATTGGTAAAAAATTATCTTGAAATTTAATTTAAAAAAACTTCACGGGAATTTGAAATAGCTAAAAAAATATAAAAATCTATCTATCTAAATATAAACATTATTAAAATACATAATTACTGTTTATTCATGGTGTTAGGAAAACATGTAGGTACAAAATATCAATTAAAAACAAAAATAACAAACCCTATAACCGAAGCGTTTTCGAAAGATAGACTTTTCTTCCTCAATTTGCCCTTAATGAAGAAAAATTTACTTTTCGAAAGGGCTTTGATTTATAAGGTTGTTTATTTTGTCTTCAGATAGTGTCTATTCTGTTTTAAAAGTGTTTCATCAAGTGACTAACTTGAATCATTAAACACAGTAACCAGCATTCGATCAGCTATGACCACTACAGTTTAAATGGATAATAATGATTATTCAAACATAAAAATGACATAATACATATAAAAGTATTCATTAATTTAGAAAGATAGAACTTTCACAGAATTTTAAAAGACAAAAATGTTAGCGTACAACCATAAAAATAATAAAACAAAAAGACATTGGCCTTTCGGATGCCCCAAGAACTTTTTTACCCTTTGTATTCCATGTTCAGATAAAAAGTAAAAGAAACATGCATATCGTAGTGGGACCAGGGGTAGTATTGAATAAATTTCAAATACCAGCGGTGAAAAATAAAAATAAGCAAATATATTCCTAAAATAATATACTTCTTACGAAGAAGATATGGTGTAAAAACATTCTCTCGTTGTATACATAATGAAGTGTTACGTTGTGTTTATACTAATCAAATCAAATGTTTATAAATTCAACAAATGTATAAGAAAAGAGTAAAATATAAATTGTTCAAAGTTTTTCTCATGCATTTACGTTGTATCATTTTTTACGTTTTTGTTACTAGCAAAAGAAAAAAACGACGATTGAAAGCGTATTACTTAGAGAAGAAAACATTAATACGATGAAATAGGAAAGTAGTGGGATAAAGATGCTAAGC